GGACAAAAAGGCCAGGGTCCCAGCGCCTGCCCCAGTCAGCCCAAAGGAGGACCCCCTCAGGCACCTGGAGAAGGTGCTGTTGCCCCCTGGCATGCCCCCCACCCCCGGGCTGACAGAGGACGATGCTCACCCAGGCCCATGCTCAGCCCTGGACACCAGCAGGCATCTCAGGAGCAGCAGGAAAAGTCAGAATGGGGCGCCCCACCCAGGCCCTCCAATGGGCACCCTCTGCAAAGGGCACAGCCAGCCCAGAGCCCAGAGTGGTGACAAGCACAGGGCTGAGCCACGGGCAGGGGTTTGGGGAAACTGTCCAAGGCTGGCTGCGCTCGGTCGTGCGCTCCGGGTGCCTTGTCCTTGACAGTTAGGATGATGTGTAGTCTGGGAGGTACTCCTACGAGCCTAGAGTCCCCCAGGTAAGGTGATGGGGACTCATGGCCCATGTTCTGTGGCCAAAGGCTGGGGCCGACCCCCCTGGGGAGGGATGTAGCCCCCAGTGGAGCTGTCTGCTGGCAGCTCACCCCCCCAACCCCGCCCAAACCTGAAGCCTGCAGTGGGACCCCACCTGGGGACTGTCTAGGAGAAACTCAGAGGGGAAAGAAGTATTTATGTCTGTCTGTCTGTCTTCCCTGCACATCGGAACCAGAGGGCCTTCTGGGCAGTATAGCCCCTGGTGGAGCCCCAGTAGGAGCCAGAGGGCTGCGGGGGGGGGGTTGCTTCATCCCCCAGGGTGCGCCAGGCAGGGGCCTCAGGCTGCCGTCCCAGCAGGGACTGGTGTCTAGTGCATGGCGGGGCAGTCTTCCCAGGAACGCTGCCCACTGATCGGCAGGCCAGGGGCCAGATAGCGAATACTCCACATTTTTTGGCGGCTCAAGGGCCTGGTTGGAAACAGTCACTGTTTTATTCTGTAGAAACCACACGCTTTGCATCCCAGTGCCCTGCAGGGAGTGGGGGTGGAGTCCAGCTGCCCCCGCCCAGGGGCTGGGCACCAGGGGGTGACAGGCCAGGTCCTGCTCACCGCTGTCACCTCCGAGGCCAGGCTGGGTGCCGGCCCCCGCCCCAGGGTGAATCCAGGGCCTCCTGCTTTGGTGCAGCCAGGACAATGGGAGACGAAGGCCCCCAGGGGCCCCCAGGCCTCCCTTCATGAACCCAGAAAAGACCCAGACCCCCAGCCCTGCCTCTGAGAGTCCCCAGCTGGTGAGAAGACAGACCGGGACCCAGGCAGTCGCTTCAGCTGAAGGTGTGAACAGGGCAAGATGGTCCGGTCTGGGAGGAGTGGGCAGAGAAGCTTCCAGGCCCTCTCACCTGGAGGCCACTTGGCCCACTCTGCACCTCCTCCGCACGCTCTGTGCTCGCAGCGTGGTGAAGAAGATGGACGGGTGTGTGAGTTCGTACACTCTGCCGTCCCTGTTCGAGAAGCCGCTCGTGTGGGTGGACGGGTGGGTTTGATAGACCGTTTTGGGGTCTGCGCACCTCCTAGTCATGCTCCCCTGGCCTGGACAGCAGCTCCTGCTTTGTGTTGCAAGGACCGGGGACTCCATCCCGAGGGCCGGCTCGGGGCCAAGCCCTCTGCATACACCAGCAATGGTTTCCCAGAGCGAGGAGGGACCTACCGAGGTCACACGGTGAGGACACCCAGAGTCACATGGCAAGGTCATCCAAGGTCATATGAGATACCCAAGGTCACACTACCGGATGGTCCAGGGCACAGAAGAGCCCAATAGAGCCACATTCTCACACCCCACCCTCGGCTGCCCCCAACAAGTGGACACAAAGGGTCCAAGATGGACTTCTTTATAAAGAGCCCTCCTTGGCCAGGATGGGCTCAGGGCTCACGCTCTCCTTCAGGTCATGGGCCCCAGGGATGCCTGCCCATGGAGCCCCAGCCCCAGAAACACTGGCTCCTCGCGGCCCACCCACTCAGGCCCATGCAGGCGTTCCCCGCCCCCCCAGCAGAGGCAGCCCAACAGCACCCTCGGGCCCCCTGCCTGCCCCCTCCGGTACCAGGAGGGACCCTGGAGAACCGAGCACTCACACGCGCCACAACCGTGCACAACTGCAGTGGACAAACGCTTCCACATTCGCCTTGGTAACAGCTCCGAGAGGCATTTTGCAAGGCCCCTCAGGGTCCCACGGGACGGAGCCCAGAGGCAGGAGCGGGTGGTGCCCGGGGCTCCCTGCTCCCTGCCTCATCCTTGGATCCCCTCTCCAAGGAACTATCTGTCCAGCAGCCCTTCTCAGGCTCTGCCCTGGGGAATCCGGGCTGAAGGCGAGACCCAGCACACAATTTCCCAGCCCCACAGCCCTGAGGTCACATGGCCGGCCACCTACCATCACCTGGGAGTGCAACTGGCCCCAAAGCCTGGCCAAGGCCCAGGGGTCCCATCAAGGCTGCCAGCCACTCAGCCACCAGGTACTGCCTGCCCCTGTTCCACCTGAATTGTTAACTGAAGTAAAAAAAATCACTTTATGTCACTGCCAAAAATGAACTATCACAGCATCGAGGCACTGAGGCTAACTGAATTTTTAATGCAACGCTCAGTTAACGCAGACCCATCCCAGCCACACGGGGAAACGCCGAGTCTGTCTGTGCCTCTATAAAATGGGCCACTCGGCAGGCAGGATGCAGACCCACATGCATCACCCTGCTGCCTCCCTCCCCAGAGGGCTTTGCAGGCAGGGCCTGGGGTGCCCACCACAGCCTTGCCAGGCGCTGGTCCCCGGAGCCCAGGACGGGGGCCATTTGGGAACCATCTGAGATGCAGCTGGTGGGGGCTAGACGGGGACCAACAGCAGGCTTCCAGGGGAGCTGCGGCCAGGAGCCCAAGCGGACGTGAGCGGGGAGGGGGCCAGACTCAAGTCCCACCTCCAGCTGCTGCCTCGGGGGACGCCCGAGCGTCAGAGCCTGTCTCCATCGGCACGAGGAGGTCACAGGCCCTGGTACAGACAGCACCGTTAAATGCAGTCCCCGCAACCCCGACACCCGCCAGGGGCCTGGCCCCGGGACCAGGCGTCTCGGCTCCACTCCAGGTGAAGCAAAGCAGGTGGAGGAGAGCCTTGCACCCTGGAGCTTCAGCTCGGCTGGGAGCACCTGGCATGAAAGGTGGGCCAGCCTGTGCTGTGTGTGACGGCGCCAGTGACAGGGAGGAGATAGAACTTGGCGCTGCCGGGGGCGCGGGCGAAATGGTGGAAGGGGGTTACAGAACAAGGAGGTCCGGGGATGAGGAGCACAGCATAGGGAGCTCAGTCAGTGATGCTGGAGTAATAGAACGGTCCAATCCCTGTGTGGTGCACGTGGAACCCGCAGAACCCCGTGTCAGCCATGCCTCACTACCAGAACCCCAGCTCAGCTCTGCAGACAGCCACGCACGCAAGACGTGCCCAGGGAGTATCTGCTCTGCTGACCGGTCGGAGCCCAAGGGAAGGGGGAGGCTTCTTCCTCCCCCGACCTGGAGCATGCTGCCCTCCCTGGGGGCCCAGGTGACAGCTGTTGCTGACCCGGTTCCACAGTGGCAGCTCTGGAGGCAGACCGCGTGCTGTCACGGGGCACTCACCGCACCAGCCAAGGCCCCAGCACTACGCAGTGTCTCCAGCCCGGTGAGACTAAAGCCAGGGAGGCAGGGCGGCCCCCGGCCCCTGGCAGAACGCTACCTGCTGCCCCCTCCCCTGGTGAGCACAATGTGCCCCCTCCTCTGCTTCTCTGCTCAGGATCCCCCCGAGGGTCAAGGGCATGCCAAGGGCACAGTGCCCTGTCCTTCGTTCCCATCCCCAGAAGGTGGGAGGTGCCCACGACAGGCCTCTCCCCAGAGGTGGCTGAGCCCGGCCCAGGCTGGAGCGCAGCACATGGGACACACCAGGGACAGCCACTCCCCAGCCAGGCACACCACTTCACAGACCAGGACACCAAGTCTGGGTGTGGAGCGGGAGCTGCTCTGAGCAAGGTGGAGAGGCACCTAGTCCACCGGCACCTGCCGGGACCCCCTGACACAGGACAAGGATGGGTGTGACCAGGCAACTGCGGGTCTCCAGGCAGGTGCACCCCTGAAAGAGCCACCACCCCAGGGCTTTGTTCCTCTGCAACACTGGGCCAGACACACAAAAAGGAGGGTATGCCGAGGGCGGGTGTGACATGCTTCTGCCCAGGGAGGCCGAAGACCCTGAGGTCTGTGCTGGGGTCCCTGTGTGCATAATACAGAACCCTTGCCGTATGCCGAGCTGCCGTCCCCACCGTGCAGATGCACACACGGAGGTGCAGAAGCCCGTGGCCCAAGGGCACAGGGCTTTCAGGAGTGCAAGGGACCAGCCCCCAGCCGACAGTGACTTCTCGGGCACACCCAGGTGCAGCCCAGGGTGACAGGCCGGGAGAGGTCCAGGCAGGAGCAGAAATGCCAGGAATGCAGGGCAAAGCCGCAACAGAGCCTGTGTGCCGCATAGGCCTGCAATCCAGAAACAATCCAGCCAGAGTGTAGGCTCCGCCGGGTGGCAGCCCCTTCCTGGCTGGGCGTGGGTGCCACCCTGCCCGCCCCGGCTCCACCCAGCAGCACAGGACCTGGCCGGGGCGACAGGCACACGCAAGTTTCCGCCGCGGCCGCGGCTGCCAGCCCCCGCACCCGCCCCGGGGCTCTGGGCCCTCTTCCGGCACCGCCCCCTCCCCAGAAGCGCACGAAGTCTTCTCTGCTCCAGCGCCCTAACGGACAAACAGGTCCTCCGTCAGCCAGCTGGGGCAAAGAAAAAAAACAGGGAGGTCCTCTCAGCATCTCAGGGAAACATAATACATAAATCACACGTTGTCCACCTACCATCAGACACGTCTCCAGGGCCCAGTGTCGTGAGCAGCGCGGCCGCGAGACGCCCGGCACGGGGCGGGGGGACTGGGAGGAGCCTCCACGGGCACCACCGACGGCGGAGCGCGCGCCAGGGGACGTGGCCCACTGCGCCCGCGAGCCCCTAACCCCCACCTCCCGTCCCGTGAACTGCGGACCAAAAACCACACCGTGAAGATGTGCTGCTGAAGGAATGCCTTTATAAAAACTCTCCCATGAACACGCGAACACCAGAGACGCTCGCTTTCGCTCCAGAGACCCCACAGGCACCAAGGGGATCGTGACAGTCACATGGCCTCTCTGCTCGGAGCAGGGAGAGCGGGCCACGGGCGACACAGGGCGGCCGGCCTTCACTGGCTCGGCCCGCGGACGCCGAAGTCAACTCACTTCCGGATGAAGCCCATCGTCTGCTTGGCTGCTCGGCTGGGCGCGTGGCCGCCGTCTCCAAGAGGCCACACACCCGGGCAGGATGGCACTGTTGGCCCATCAAGTTCCGGAATCCCAAGGGCAGGCCTCGCTGCGCAGGCTCTCGTGGTGGGGCGGCCCGGGGCACCTCCGAGCGACGGGCCCCGTGACAGGAGACAGGGTCTAGACTCAGTTACGCAACTAGAAAAATGTGACCACAAAGCACTTTTCACGTGTATGGGTTTTGTTGGTGGGTTTTTCTTTTTCCTTTTGGTTCAAAGAAAAAACATAGCAGGCTCTCAGGTATACAAAACTGGTAATATTAGATAAAAATACAAACTTCACCTTTACAAAACAAAAACAAAAACACAACACACACACATTTCTGTTGAATACATGTAAAGCGTAACATCTTACCAAAAATAAAGAATTTAGATTCTGTCCAAACACTGGCACAGGGCCACCTCGCTGCGGCGAGGACTGGGAGCGGCAGGCCTGGGACGGACTCGATTGGTTCACGCATAGTTCTCTCGAAATGGCTTAAATTAAAAAGTAAGATAAAATGGGGCAGGGGAGAAACACGTAAAGCCAGAAACATTTAGGAAGTGATGCATAGGTGGATATACCATGTTTATTTTAATACATCTCATTTGTTTGCATCCTGCGAGGGGAAATACGGTCCCACTGTCCTGACTTACAGCAGCCTGGTGTTATCGGTGTAAATGTCATCCAAGAGATAATTAAAAAAAAAAAAAAAAAAAGCTAGCCAAAGAGTAAAAAGGAAAGCTTAATAATCACTTTATGGTGTAAAAAAAAAAAAAATCCACTTAAGGCTCTCGGGAAGGTTTCTGTATAGACTTAAACACTACGGCAAGGAGATGTGTTTCTAAGTCCCGTGGTGGTTCTGAGATACCCCTGCTCCCACGTGCCCTCAGGGCCCTCGGCCCCCGCCCGGAGTCCTCCAGAAAGCAGGCTGTGTCCCTGGCAGAAGCACCTGTAACCCTGGACAGAAATCCGGTCCGCCGAGGCACATCGCTTCCATCCCACGGGGGTGTCCCTCCGTTCCAACAACTGTTTAGATATTTTTGTGAGTCCGTTTTGTTTGTCATGTTTTGTGGTTCTCTTTGCTCTCTCTCCCTCTCTCTTTTTGACAAGGAAGCTTCTTATTGTTTCACCGAGTGCTACAATACTTGCTTTGATGTCACATTAAACAAATGTATACTGTCTCTTTGTTCTCCAGAGTGTGCACGGAGACGGTTTTTCACGGAGGAGAACAAAGACCGCACGCTGTCAATGAGCACCGTACATAGTAGGTTCAGGAATGTAACACGCCATGTACATCCGTGTCCCGGAAAAGGGCTGCTGGCTTATCCTCACCTCACATCTGCAAGGAGAGGGGAGAGAAACAGACACTGACGAGGGACCGAGCATGCACGCTACAGTGTGGACGGGGACCACCGGGAGACACTTCACCCAGTCAGGGGGACACACTCACACACCGGGACAAACCTCAGGATTTGAGGGGTTTGTGGCATTTTTCAAGTCAAATATGCCTCAGTACCCTTTCTGTAACCTCCTGACCAGAACTGGGACTAGGCTCTTGGGATCTCACAGAACATTCCTTAGAACAAGCCCCATTCTCCCATTGTACAGATGAGGGAAACTGAGGCCCAGAATGGTTATTTTTTTGTCTTTTTCCTCATGTTCCTCCTCCCCCTCACTGCCAGCAGAGGGCTTGATGTGATTTCTGGAGCTCTGGCAGCCATCCTGGGCCATGAGACAACCCTGAGGATGGATACCACCAGGCAGACGGGCAAGCAGATCTACACTGAGCTCTGAGCTAAGAGCAGCTCTTCCCCATCCACATTACCTGTTCACTGCTTGTCCCAACACCGGTACTACCCACAAGCTAGCAGGGAGGCCACTTGCCTCTCACTTGACATCTCTGTCATCGGCTGGCCCATGGAGGCCAGAGCCCAATCGATGGTGTACAGACTGGATGCACAAGCCGGCACAAAACCACCCCCAGAGCCACACCCTTGGGGAAAGCAAAAATCACAGGCAAGAAATTGTTTTGAGGCTGCTTCAGGAACCCACCCTAGTGGATCCTTTCCTCCCCAGATGATTCTTATGAATGGACCAGACCCGCTGGCCTCCACACTGCTGACCTGGCAGCTTTCTGCAGTCACTGAACCAGCACCTGGGCTCTGAGACACCATCTCCAAGAATTTTTCCTACAACCACCCATTTGGGATGCCATGGGTTCACACGTGGCCAGAGGCAAGTACTAGGCTCTCCAGAGCAGACAGGTCAACAACAAGGAGCAGGAAGGCTAGAAACTGCCTCCATGATGGCTGTGGTTGCCCAAATCCCATTTTCCTCTGGGAAGCAGTATGTCTCTCTACAAGGCTACGCTGCCCAGGTCCTCTTGCAGCTGAAGGACGGCCAGTGTATCAGAGCAGAAGTCACTGGGTGGGACTTCTCTAAGAGGGTTCTTTTGCCCCTCTCCCAACATTACTCTTCCAACCTGGAGTGTAGATGTGATTTCTGGAGCTTCAGCAGCCATGCCAAGCCATGAAGCAACTCTGAGGATAGACGGCCCCAGTCCTGCATGGGAGAGGGTCCCTGATGATACCTGGAGGATGCGATACCTGCACCTGAACGTCTACCGCATCTCAGCCCTTGTTGGTTTTGGTGTGTTACCAGAAGCCACTTTCCAACACAGTAGCCAACAGCCCTACACGTCTATAAAACATTTTCAGATAGGATCCACGCAGTCTTCAATACCCTTACCTATCATCCCTGTAAGCCTCAGTCTTTCATCTGTCAAATGGGATGGGTAACCTGCCCAAGGTGATCCCAGCTAATAAACATCAGAGCTACCCCACTGCTGTTCAGGAACCCAAATCACTCCAGTCCTGTGACGCCGGGGCCTCCCCAATCAACGCAAGAGACCCAAGCCAGAGCGGGGACTCTGGAGCAGCAGGGGACGCGAGCGAGCAGACCCACAGCCCAGCCAGACACCGGAAGCTTGCAGGCCGATCAGGGCCGATCAATCAGAGCCGCGAGCTCGCCGCCACGGGAGGGATTCGCCGTGTGATCAGCCGGTGCACCTCCCACCCACAGGACCGAGGCACATCCGCACACAGCTCCTACCTGGTTGGCTGCGTTAGGTGGGTTTTAACCTTTTTCTTTTCCGTTTTTTACCTGACTCCCTACGCCTTCCTGTTAACAGAAGGGCAGGAGGGTGAGCGGGCCTAAGGGTTAGGGCTGCGGACCTGAGGCAATACATAGCTGAAGTGTTTGTCTTTCTGGAAGAAAACTCAATTAGCTTTGGCACAGAGACACTTCCTGGTGCCCTTGAGCCGGCCCAACGCAGCGGGTCACAGCGCCACGCTGCCTCGGGGCGAAGTCTGACGGGACAAGGGGGAGGCCGAGAGGCCCCCAGGAGCCACCTACTCGGGGTCGGGCCTCCCTCGGCCTCATGGCTCCCGGGCACCCGATGCCCCGACCAGGGTGGGGACGTCCAGTGTCCCCCAGCAGGCCGCCTGGGCTCGCGGTCCGGGCTGGCGGCAGCACTGGACCCTAGCGCCCGCCGAGCCCCGCCTCGGCGTGGAAGCCAGGCCCCGAGGACTCCCTGTGCAGTGAGCTGAGGGCGAGGGCGAGGGCGAGGGCGGGGGCGAGGGCGAGGAGCAGGACAGCGGCCGAGGCGGGGCTTACCCGTCTCCTCCTCCCGGTGGTCCGGGTTCAGACCGCTGGCTGTGCATGTGCATTCCAGATGCTCCTCCAGCCGCACCTGCACTTCTTTTAACTTTGGCTTCTTCCTGATGTACTCCACCTTGGCCACCTGCCCGAGACAACAGCCCCGCCGTGAACACCCCGGCCACGCCTCGCACGCGTCAGCGGGAACAGGTACGTGCTCGGCCCCACCCAGGCCAGGAGGGCAATGCCGGCAGGCCGACCTCTGACCTCCAACCTCTAACCTGCTCCCTGCAGAAAGGCAGGAGAGCCAGATGGGAAAGTAACCTTCGGCATTTGTGGTTTGGCCCACGTTAACTGGAACCCGAAGGCTCGTTCGCGTGAGCAGGGAGGAGGCCTGCACGAGGCGCTCGAGGTAAGAGCTCTGAGCAGGGCAGGGGACAGGAGGTGTTCGCTCCCAGGTCTTAGGGGCATCTGAGGCAACAAAACCTCCAAACGCATGCTTGATTAGTAAAAGGACAAAAACCCACGGCCACGGAAAGGGGCTGCTGCACATGGCCTGTGGTCTGTGGCCCCGGCCTCAGCCTCCCTCCCGCCTGTCCTGCTGAGGGCCCAGGAGGAAGGAGAGCAGGCCCAAGGGCCCACAAGAAGGCTGTCAGGGTCTGGACGTGGATTCTGGTCTGTGGACCGCAGATGAGGACCCCACAAGCGCCAAGCCTCACCCCCGGCTCCACAGACATGGAGCCACCTCACGGCCTCAGTCCCAGGCTGGAGGCCTTCCCAGGGCCCCCCAGCTACAGCTGACCTTAGCCCAGGGAACCATAGCCTTCTCAGAAACACGGGCAAGGACCCCGGGGCGTCATCCCAGGAGGCCGGGGGTGGGAAGGGTCTAGAACTGAGCCAGTGGTTCCTCCAACTGGGCCTCCTCCTTTGTCGGCCCAAATTACCTGGGCACAGAACCACAGCATGGCGGACCTGCCTCTGCACTCTCCCGGGATCTGTCGGGAGGAAATGGCCGGTCTAGCCCGTGGGCACAAGCCCAGGCAGCCTAGAAATCAAGTTCCTAAGGACCCCAGCTCGGGCCTGGGGAAACCAGCTCATCGTGTCGTGGGAACGCCGCTCCACGCTCCACACATACACACGTGTGCACACGCAGTGCACGCACGTGTCCTGTCCTGCAAACTACACACACACACACACACAGCAGGGCACGCACACGCCCTGTCGTGGGAACACAGCTCCTCGCACACACACATTATACCCACACCTGGCGTCCGAGGACACTGCATACACACAGTGAGCGTGGCCAGGGTGGCCTCATTTCATCCCAGCTCACGAAGAAAATACAGAACAGTAGGAGCATTCCTCCCAGACCCTCTCTGCAGCCCAGTGGGCTCCCCCCAGCAAGTGCCCAGGCCTGAGCTCAGTCCCCAGCAGGGGTGGGACCACCATCTTCCCAGGGCGAAGAAAATACAGAACGGTAGGAGCATTCCTCCCAGACCCTCTCTGCAGCCCAGTGGGCTCCCCCCAGCAAGTGCCCAGGCCTGAGCTCAGTCCCCAGCAGGGGCGGGACCACCGTCTTCCCACTTGCCCTGGACCCCGCAGATCTGGGCACACGGCAGATGCTCCCATCTGCGCCAACACTGGGGTGCGGTCCTGGAAACAGCCCCCAGGGATATCCATTCCACCCCATTTGCCTGGAGAAACTGAGGCAGAAAGGGAGCAGGGTCCACACAGGTCACACCCCAAGCGTGTGGAGGCATCAGGGAGTTGGCAGGGGTGAGGGGATCCCTCGTGGAGAGCAGAAGCCCCCAGCCTGGGGACAGTGGGGAGGGGAGGCGGTGAGGGGGGAGTTCCTGTGCAGAGGCCTGGAGTCCAGAAGCCAGAGGACCCCAGACAAGTGGGACCGGCCACCCCACAGGTGAGCTGGCCCCACGGCTTGCCCAGACCCGTCCGTAGCCACTGGGCTACATTAACAGTTAACCCGCGGTGCAAAAGGGTGCTGGGTGCCCGGCGGCCACGGGAAGTGGGATGCAGCCTCAGGTGTGAATGTGGACGGCCAGGTGTGAGCTCAGAGGTGGGGTGGGAGCCAGGCCAAGTTTGGGGCCAGGCCTGGGAGGTTTCCTAAGGAGAGAAGAGGTAGAGGAAAGGACCTCAGGCATGAGCAGCCCCAGCCACGGGGCAGGGTCTGCTCCACAAGGCACCTACCGCTCCAGGAGGCCAGGACCACAGAGAGTGAGAGAGAAAAAGAGAGAGATCGATCCTTGGGACATGGGGGCAGAGAGCCTCCACTTTCCCCTCTATAAAATGGGAACAAAGATCGTGGCCCCCAGGGTTTCACATGTATGGAAGCACTTGGAACTTTGCCACTGGGCTACCTTCCGGAGCAAGCAACCCCTGGTATCGGCATGTCGAGCTTACCAAAACCAGCCCCCAGGCCCAGAGTGAACCTCCCCTCGAGGGCACTGGGTGGGGTGCACCTCAGCGGGCCTCCCAAGAGGGCAAGAGGACCCTGGCCTGAGCCTGGCCATCGTGCCAGCCCTCCGGGCATCAGGAGCTCCAGGCCCACCTCAGCCCCCTCTCCCGGCCCAGCCCCAGGGTCTAAGCAGGTAAGTCAGAGGCCACGGCCCCCCCGTTCTAAGCACTCATGCGCCCCCACGCATGGCTTCCCTCCACCACTGGACTCTGCTGGGGGACACAGGGAGGCTGGGGGCAGGCAGCAAGGCACAGGTGGGCTGGCCCCTCTGCTCAGCAAGCACCTCACCCGGTTCCTCTAGGGGAGCAGGTACTAGGACCCCAGGCTCTGGGTGCAGGGGGCCAGGCTTGTTTTCCACTGAAGACAGACCAGCCATGGTGGGGAAGGCAGACACTCCAGAAACCCCCCCCGCCACGGTCCCCTTGGCAAAGCACTCAGCACACCGGCCACTCCAGTCTGGGAACCCACTTTCTCCTCAGACGGGCTGTTTTTATCAAAGAAAAACAAACAGCGATTTATGATTGCACCTGCTTCTGGGTATGTGAGGATTCCAAGCTGTTCCGCCACCTCTGTCTGGCCAGGAAATAGCTGCATTTTTCCCCCAAGAACACACTGAATATTAACTTCTCAAAGCAGCCTCCACACTAGCTGAGTCCCCAGAACAAGATGTTTACATCTTTGGGACCCTCATTCCCGTCACCTCAGCCCCCAGATCCATCCTGGAGCCCAAGCAGGGTCCCCACACCCCTCCCTCCCTCCTCCCTTTGTTTGTGTCCTGGGCGTCTGAGCTGCACCCTATAAAGAGTACATTCACCTTCCCACCGTGAGTCTGCCTGGCAGGAACCACCCCACCTGCACGCTCCCAGGGCAAAGCCACCCGAGCGTGCGATCCAGTGATGCCGTTACCCCTTTTTTTTTTTTTAAAGATTTTATTTATTTATCTGAGACAGAGAGAATGAGAGAGACAGAGAGCACATGAGAGGGGGGAGGGTCAGAGGGAGAA